TACCTGGCCATGAAGCTGACACAATGAACAAAACAACCAAATTAAAATTTCAACAACTAATACGCATACACCCTCCCGATAAAACACAAACATGAGAAAATCAAAATATTTGAAATACGGGCCATCAAACCCTACATTCAAGTTAATATCTCAACAACGAGATATGCCACGAACATAATGCACACACCAACGGAAAGCTAAAACATTACACAAGCCACCTGAACCATCAAAAGACAATTTACCTACCATAGACCCATCCTAGTCACCACCAAACTCAAACCAACTCAACAAATCGAAAATACCGCAAAATGCCGAAAACACCAAAACACGACCAAACACGAAAAAGTCAACAACTCTTCTAATACACACAATATGAACATAACATATACCTGGCCATGAAGCTGAAACAATGAACAAAACAACCAGATCCAATTTCAACATTGAACCGACCATACCCCGATGCAATTAACCAATACACATACACCCTCCCGATAAAACACAAATATATGAAAACCAAAATATTTAAAATACGGGCCATTAAACCCTACATTCAAGTTAATATCTTAACAACAAGATATGCTAGCAACATATCACATATACCAATGGAAAGCTGAAACAGTAAACTTACCACCTGAACCACCAAAATGTAATTTACCTACCCTCAACGCCACCACAGACACCGCCAAACGCACACCAACTCAACAAATTGAAAACACCACAAAATGCCACAAAATACAACCAAACACGAACAAGCCAACAACCCTTTAAATACACACAATATCAACATATAACATACATGACCATATGGCTAAACCACAAACCAAACCAAACTAAAATTCATCAATAAACTGACCACGCCTTTATGCAATAAACCAATACGCATAAACAACCACCCCCCCTCCCGCTAAAAACGAATACGGGAAACCTATTAAAATACAACAGAATGATAGAAATAAAACAGCATTATCATTCACAATAAAATCACAATAAATCACATACAACATTCATTCGGCCGCTGAGGAAGAACAATCATGGGATACCCCCATGAGTTCGAAACATCTTGGGCCCTTATAATGACCAACATATAAGGGAGAAGATCCGCTACAGGATCGGGATGTCCGGCCTCTCTCTACGTGAATGAAGATAGGGAATAACACACCAATGTCATTACCCTAGGATCTACCAAATATACACTACCCGTCACATGAGTACTGACGGTGGTTAGGGGAAGCTTAGCTACAAGACCTTGCCTGCCAGGCCCCCCGACTGAGACCTCTCACCATAAACACAGATTGCATGACATGTGCGTGTTTAATACAGGTGATGTCTCAAGACATTGTCTAAGTCACCATTTCCAAAAATAAAAAAACTTGATTTCAAGTTACTATGGCAACCATTTCTCATTCAATGTTTCCGTTATTCTAAATATTGTTAGCTGGATTAATAAACCATTCCATGCTGCACATTCTGTGAAAATTTCATAGGAAAATATTGAAAAATAAAGAAATTAGAGAGATATTATGAGAACTTTATGATCAACCCTCGTATGTCACATTGCTCAGCTTATGGACAAATACCAAGTATATTTCATCTCAAAAACGATCGAACACATTTTGTAGTAGAAGGGCTGTACCATCTTACCACACTTGGTGTTTCGAACATTTCTTATCAGCGTCCCGAATATTCAACAATCTTTCTGCCGACCCGGCAATACAAAAATACGAGGGTATATCATAAAGTTCTCATAATATCTCTCTAATTTTTTCATTTTTCAATATTTTCTAATGAAATTTTCATGGAATCTGCACTATAGAATACTCTATTAATCTCTCAAAATATATTTGGTATAACATAAATATTAGATAAGTAGTGGTTGCCATAGTAACCGGAAATCAAGGCACCCGGGGCAAATACAAATAATTTAGAGAATTAGCTTAATTAACCATGTTTACATACATTATAAACTCTCATGAATTATCAAACACATTAAAATGTTATCTTGAATATGTTGTTAAATGCTTTTACTATAAAATAAATTGATGTGAACTGTGTGATGTCATAGGGTATGCTGACATGCTTCATTAGATGTGATACCAAACTCTGAGAATCAAAGCTTAATTATCAGAAATGACTGAGTAAGATAGTGCATAGATGCAGAGATCATCAGAAAAATAATATTCATACTGATAAAAAGTTTAGTTTAGTTCAAAATTCCTTTGCTCATACTAAAGATGGTCTAAAACAAATATGTTGCAAAGACATCAACAAAATTACACCCTATGTGTATTCTATTATTTATTTAAGATGAACTAAAGTGGAAAATCGACTTTCCATGGAATATTTGACAAAACAGTTGTAGTGTCTAACATCACTTCTAATGAAGCATTACAATCATCCATAATGAGATCACACAATTCACATGACCATTATAATTGTTCAAAACAGTCAAGAATACATGGTATTTATTAATTTGATGTGTTTCATAGCTTATTTAATAACTTATTATGCATTTAAACATGGTTAGTTGGGGCTATTCTTGCACAATTTTTTATTTGCCCCGGGTGCGTTGATTTCCGGTTACTATGACAACCATTTCTTAAATAATATTTCTGTTATACCAAATATTTTTGATAGATTAATTCAGCATTCTAAACTACACATTCTGTGAAAAATTCATCAGAATATATTGAAAAATAAAAAAATTAGAGAGATATTATGAGAACTTTATGATATACCCTCGTATATACACTTTATAACCTTATGGAGATAAACACTCACTCCAATTCATATTTTAAAAAACAACGCATTTACTCACAAACAACCAACCAAACCAGGTTTCCCCAACCGGGAACCCTATTTAGAAACAGCCCATTCTTAAAAAAACAATGGAAGTACATGTAAAACACAAACATATACAACAGACTATCAAACACATTACCCGTACATCATATAAAACTCATATCAACAAACAAAACAAACGAAACAAATTTTAACAAACAAACCGACAAAATCGTGATCTACAATTCACCAAAACGCATACACCATCCCGACAAAACACAAACACGGGACAATCAACAAATTGAAAACACGGTAAGACAGCCCCCAGAAACAAGTTAATACCTCAATAACAAGAGATGCTACGACCACAACATATACATCGAAATAAAGCTTAGACATGACACTACACACCCAAGCCGTTGAAAAACAACTTACCTACCACTTACATACCAAAAAAAGCCACAAAACAAACACGAAATTTACAAACCAAAATACCACAAAACTCCGATAAAACCAAAATACCGTAACCAATCGCGAACGAGCTAACAACTTCCCCAAAGCACACACTATCAAAATAAAAAACACCTCACCATAAGGGTAAACAACAAACCAAACAAACAAATTGACAACAACTTGATGCAATTAATCAATACGCATACACGATCCCGGCAAAACACAAACACGGGATAATCAAAACATAATGAAATCACGGGAAGACAGCCTCCAAAATCAAGTTAATATCTCAACAACAAGAGATGCTACTACCATAACACATACACCAAAATGAACCTCAGACATGACACTACACACCCAAACTGTTGCAAAACAACTTATCTACCACTTACATATAAAAACGCCACACAAAACAAATAAAACAAGAAAGGACGATTCTCGGTTTGGAGAACAGTCTCCTGGGCTAATAATTTGATTCATGAAAAATATAGAAATATTACCCAAATTAAACTATGAATATTCAAAAGAGGACATTTAAATCTACAAAATGTAAAAATAACAAATTGGTCTGAAGCAGGGATAACGCTCAATTAGACCGATTCAGTAAAATACAAGTCTCGATTTGGGGAAAGAAGTTCATCGGTGTACTGCGCTAATATTTTTTTGCGAAAAATATAGAAATATTACCCAAATTAAATTATGACTATTCAAAAGAAGACATTCAAATCTATATTATGTAAAAAAAATCAAATTTGTCCGAAGCAGGGATAATGCTCATTTAGATTGATGAACTTCGTTCTCCAAACCGAGAATCGTCCTTTACAAACCAAAATACTACAAAACTCCGATAAAACCAAAATACAAACAATTGCGAACAAGCTAACAACTCCCCCAACGCACACACTACTGACATAAAAAACACCTAACCCTAAAGGGTAAAAAACAAACCAAACAAACAAAACAAATTCGAACAAACAAACTGACCACAACTTGATGCAATTAATCAATACGCATACGATCCCGACAAATCACAAACACGGGATAATCAAAACATAATGAAATCACGGGAAGACAGCCTCCAAAATCAAGTTAATATCTCAACAACAAGAGATGCTATTACCATAACACACACACCAAAATAAACCTCAGACATGACACTATACACCCAATTCATGGAAAAACAACTTTTCTACCACATACATACCACAAACGCCGCCAAACATACACGAAATTTACAAACCAAAATACTGCAAAACTTCGATAAAACCAAAATACAACCCGACACGGGAAAACAGATCCCCTGTCAAGTAAACATATTAACAATAATATATACTACCACCACTACACACTGTCACACAAATCAACACTAAGCTCAAACACAAGACTAAACACCCAAACCTTTGACAAACAGGGATCCCACCACAAACTCACACTACACACATCCAAACCAATACCATTTTTATAAACGAAAATACCACACTCCGATAAAGCAGAAACGCTACTAAAGACAACGAATTTACAACTCTTCCAATTTACATACCATGAACATAAAACATACACCACTATATATGAAGACCTCTCGCCAGAAATGACACTTGTACTATGTACTGTAGTGCGCCAGGCTAGCTGTGTTAGATACGCTAATAAGAGGCATTTCCAACAATGATTACTGGGATTGTTCACATACTGCACCAGACTGTAAATTTCACGTAAATTCATCGCATTGATTAAATTCACTATCCAATAAAAATGTGCATTTATACTGTGCTGCGGTTAAATGGGAACAGATGATTTAAAAAGAATTTCGAAAAACGCTTTGTTAAATTATTTGTTTCCGTCTAGGGCGACTTATTTAGAGAGTCTTATCAATTGTATAATAAAATGTGATGTACATGGAAAGCATACATCTTCATTCATCAGATGTTTATCGGGATGAAGAAAAGAACTGGGAATGAAAGATCGTGTAATTGTACGTTGAAAGATAATGGTTTTAAACCTGATTTACCATTTGCCCATCGGGTAAGTAAATGGAATCTCATACACTTACAATGTAACTACGTGAAAATATAATGTGGCGTCCGTGGAACGAATGGTGAGCGAAAGCTACGCGAATGAACCAACTCCGTGGTACATACGAAATTACCCCGCGATGAGCTTGAAGCGCACTCGTGACGCGCCCGCGGTGACCACGAAAAGCGTTCGATTTGACCACGAAATTCGGGCGGCATGCCGACGACATGGCATGGTGTAAGGCTAGTAATTAGATGTACGGTACATTATCGAATTCATACTGGAGAAAAAGACTTCATATGTGATGTTTGTTCTAAACTTTTTACTCAAAAGTCAAATCTTAAGAAACATTATAAAATTCATACTGGAGAAAAAGACTTCAAATGTGGTGTTTGTTCTAAAACATTTGCACGAAAGTGTGATCTTACAAAACACTTAATAATTCATACTGGAGAAAAGAACTTCAAGTGTGGTGTTTGTTCTAAAACATTTGCACGAAAGTGTGATCTTACAAAACACTTTATAATTCATACTGGAGAAAAGAACTTCAAGTGTGGTGTTTGTTCTAAACCATTTAGGCAAAAGTCTAATCTTAACAAACATTATAGAATTCATACTGGAGAAAAGAACTTCAAATGTGATGTTTGTTCTAAAACATTTGGGAACAAATCTAATCTTAATGAACATTATAAAATTCATACTGGAGAAAAGAACTTCAAATGTGGTGTTTGTTCTAAAACATTTGCACGAAAGTGTGATCTTACAAAACACTTTATAATTCATACTGGAGAAAAGAACTTCAAGTGTGGTGTTTGTTCTAAAACATTTGCACGAAAGTGTGATCTTACAAAACACTTTATAATTCATACTGGAGAAAAGAACTTCAAGTGTGGTGTTTGTTCTAAACCATTTAGGCAAAAGTCTAATCTTAACAAACATTATAGAATTCATACTGGAGAAAAGAACTTCAAATGTGATGTTTGTTCTAAAACATTTGGGAACAAATCTAATCTTAATGAACATTATAAAATCCATACTGGGGAAAAGAACTTCAAATGTGATGTTTGTTCCAAAACATTTTCACAAAAATCTCATCTAAATCAACATCATAAACTCCATACTAAAGAAAGTGACAATAAAATATAATTGACACATAGTTAGGCATCATGATATATCACATTTCAGTCTCGCAGAATTCATAGTTTCAAGTTGCTTGTTCTGTTCACCCAGCTAGCATATAACTACTATTTTCAATGTCCACTTTCAGAACAGCCATCTAGAAACTTGATGAAGACTGTGTAGCAGTTTTGTTAATATTGTTTAATTATGTAAATAAAGTATACTAGGAAAATGGTCTTTTGCTATAATCAAAAGGTAATTTTGTTATATTTTACTTGTAAACATGTAAAGCATGAAGTATTGTATCTTGCCTGCTATGATATCAATTTTTCTGAATGAGTGGTGTTTCCCGCTAAATCATATGTGTACAATACACGCTGTATCCATCCGGTCCCGCTGCTGATTTCAAAATTTTTAAAATTTTTTTTTCAAGTCAAAATTTTTTTTCACATTTTTTTTCAAATTTCTTTTTTTCACATTTTTTGAAAATCTCGCAAACCTTAAGGCCAAGAAAAGTAAGTATGTTTTGGAATTTTGGAACTTACAAGGTATGATGTGCCTAGAGCTTCAGTAGGTATGAAATATATCTGTTATGTACGGTCAGTTTTGGATACAGGGTTTATCCCAAGGGAAATATGTGTATCTCCCTCCCTCCCTGGGAGATACACATATTTCCCTTGGGATAAACCCTGTATCCAAAACCTCCCAGTACATAACCCTTATATACATGTATTTATAATGGAATATATCAAAATCAACTATATTTAGAACTCAAAAATAACTCTGTATCTTTGTCACATCTAGTTTATTCTAATAATAACAAGGCACCGACGTGAACAATATCGTACCTAAAACACAGCATTGTGGTCTTGTTGACCAAGAAAGCAAGATGGCCGCAGAAAAGTTAATCAGCTCTAGAACTTATCACTGTGTAACATATGTAAAAATTTGAACGGTTTGGCTGAAAACCTGTAGACAAGTCTTGAAAGTGAAGATTTTAGGACGGAAAATCCAAAATGGCCACCTTAAAATTTACCCAGAATGCCCAAAAACTAATCAGTTCTTGACGTTGATATGTAGAAACATCACTGAAAATTTCAGATGAATCCCTCAAATGGTTTGGCTGGAAACTTGTAGACAAGTCTTGAAAGTGAAGATTTTAGGACGGAAAATCCAAAATGCCCGCCCGCCCGCCAAAATGCCCGCCGCCCGCCCGCCCGCCCGCCCGCCCGCCGCCCATCAAGCTGACTACAATATCGTACCTTTTGTAAGTACGATAAAAAGGAACATGTGAGATGATTTTCGAGGATACAACTAAGCATCATATTCTGGACTTTCAAATAAGGTAGACCATCATAAGAAGATAATCATGAGCATTGTTTTCATGAATTTTCAAATTAGAAAAATAGTAACTTCATAGAGTAGCAGATCCCACCAAACAAAATATATTTTATAAAATGAATCATCATTTTGAACTACTCAATATTTCATAGTTCCTACCTAGTTTTCCCAGCGCCTCCAAGTCCAACCAACATCAGTTTGGTCCTGTAACATTCAACTGATCCTAACTTGAGCCTCTTCAGGTAGTTGACAACCTGAGCATTGCCCTGGGTGACAATTTCTAGAGGTGGGGTTTTCAGTGATATACAATCATCTATGTTAATATCTGGAACAACAACAGCATACAGTAGTTTTATCACTTTATGGACTTAATGTAGCAGCCATTAGGTCCACATTCCCTCATAATCAAATACCTTTATCCTAAAGTACAAGAGCAAGAAACACATTACAAAGCGATGTGATACAAAATGAGTCATACCTATGGTCTCTAAAAATATTGTGAGTGTCATATCTTGAGTATGTCATACCTACACACAATTGATTGCATTTACATCTCTCATATGTTTTTTGAAATAACCAATTTACCTTTGAAGTTTGAATGTCCTATTTCTCCACTGATGCTCTCCAGTAGGTAGCACTGGGAGAGATGCACAGCTTTGAGGTACTTTAGCTCTCCTATCTGATTGGGCACTACAGTTATCCCTTGGCATCTCAAACTCACAAATGCCAGCCTCCGTAACTGGAAAATCTGCCAGGGAACACCACCTCGGGATGGATCCTCTTGGGAGGTGAAGAGACGAGGGTATGTGGTGATTTTCTCTCCTGCTATCGTACAGGTGTGGCTTCTCTGGGTGGAGTTTACAGAGTTGAAGTCAGGGTCCTCACAGCATGCCAACCAAGCCTCTCTTAATGTACTGGCTTCAACCTGTTTATTTTGCTGAGGTAACCCATTAAATATGAGTATCTCCAGTTGCTTCAAAAGAATATAAAAATATGGAAGTCAATAATTTGAAGAGGATGTTTTAGAGGCAACAAAATCTTGATGTTTAACTGTGTTAAGTAGTTTATATAGAATTCAATGAAATTATTGTTCAAGAAAAATCAAGCGGCAGTTACTTTGTTTGATTTTCATTATTTTGGTTCTAATTTGTTTTGAGCAACAACTATGAACCTTGCTTTAATTCAACTTTTTCAACTAAGATTAAACTTCTTATCCTCTGAATATCTGAAATCCACCTACATTCAGCTCACAGAAGGAATCGGGCAAAGCTCTGATAAAGTTCTCGCTGATGTTAAGGAACTTTAAACAGTGTAACTCTCCTAATCTCTCTGGTAGCCTCATCAACCCACAACCACTTATGTCCAAAGTTGCAAGCTGTGTGAAGCTAGTGAGGTTTGCAGGTATGGAATCTGATAATGTTAACCATATAAGATTGCCTCCTTCTAGCTTTAGGTCTTGGTTTGGTTCAGGTTTGTCATGCACAGCAGTCTGAAGAAATAGTTAATATACATGAATATGCTAAAAAAGTTAATATACATGAATATACTAAAATAGTTAATATACATGAATATACTAAAAAGTTAATATACATGATTATACCACTCTAAGTCCAATTACAGTTGTATAACATGGGTCTATAACAACGATATACAGTGGAGAGTGGTATATCGTCATCGTATACAACTCCTCCGTATACACTCCAGCGTATACCACTGTAGAAGTGCATTCTGGGAACTAATGAATAAAAAAATCATGAAGAATCAAGTGACGTCATAAATGGTTCGAGATCAACATCAACATTATTGAGTTGGCTATGGGATATTTTTATGGTTTTTAATTGTTATGATTGTGTTCGAATCAACTGTAATTGAACTTAGAGTGGCATAATAAGATTATATAATGGTTCATTCTGTATATCATGCATTTTATACTCTCGTGAGAATATAATATATTCACTCGTTCGCTACGCTCACTTGTGAATATATCATATACTCACTCGAGTATAAAAACGATATACAGAAAGAACCATTATGTAACCTCATAATATACTAAAATAGTTAATATACATGAATATACTAAGTTCATTACAGCTTATTGGTTAATTTACCCAGAACCAAATCCTTAATATGCTAACACTACAAAATGAAACTTGTTACAGGGTAATATCTTGTCCATTGAGTTTGGAACTGTCAGTATTAATACTTATCAGAAAAATACTATATAAAGTTAATCAATTCCATATTTTAATATGGCGTTTCTGTTTTACATTCGGCTATTGGAAAGTTTACAGCCTTAGCAATATTACATGTTATAGAGTATGTACTGAATCAACACATGAATGCTGATTTGGTACTGAAATCAGTTAAATTAACAGTACATATACAACGTATTTCATTACAATGGTACTAATTCAGTGATAATACTGGCACTGAAGCATTCCTCAAAAATAATTGCTGATTTAGAAATAAAATATATAGAATGACTGTAAATTTCATAATAGATAGCATACATGTATTTCCCCTTGATATAATGATGGTTCAAATAGTTTCTAGGCCATTCACTATTCCCTCCACTTTATGCAGACAGCTGTATTACAAGGACCTGATCATTTAAGATGGACTAGAAGATTAATATATAAAATGGCTTACCAAATCTAATGGTCTATCAACAAGATATTCCAGCAATGGGCAACCTTGTAGAAATCCATTTGGGGGTTTCTCCACTCCAGATGCAATAACCAAACCCCTGAGATCACCCCCTGCCAAACCTGGCGTGTAACTCTACAAATACAGCACAATAGAGAGCTTCTTGGATATGCTGATATATACAGGTATGCAAAGATTTTCTAGTGTGGCATTCATCTAATTTTAATTGTAAAATTTGAAAAATTGCAGGTCATTTAAAAGGATTTCTTAAGGTTGTACAGGGTGACACTCTGCACACATACATTAGTGCATCTAATCAAAACTTTTTCATCAATGACATATTGAAAATTTTTATAGGTAACAAATACTCACTCTGATACTAGCTTTATGGGCTTCTACTGGACACGATTTACGTTGTTCAAGAGGTAGTTTCAAATTCTCAGCAACCTGTGAATTGTCATGTGACAATGTGACAGCAAGAATGTATGTGTCATGAAGGAGTCTAAGGAACTCTCTCACCCCCTCAATACATGAAACACTGACATGGTCCTTGCATGATCTTAGGTGAGGATACACCTGACATAGGTGGTCAACATCTCTAAGCATTTTCTATAAAACATCAAATATGTTTGTACTGATTAACATTCCTTGGGCAGAAAGTCTCTGTGAAAAGCAACATTCAGAAATCTCTACAAATAATCATAACCATTAATTAAACATACCCTAACATGCAACTGTTTATGGAATATGTAGAAACATGATGTGATATCACTTAAAGAGAGAATCAGATATAGCGAGCAGCCAAACAAAAAATTGTTTCAATTTAAGAATATTTCTGGCTTGTGTCATTCCTTTTCATGTCTATTTTCTAAAAATCCCCAAAGTACACACTTTATTTCAGGAAAACTAAAGATTTTTACAATAATATATTATTTTTCTATAAGAAAGGTTACCATTCTTATTATTTGGGGGAATTTAAACATTTTTCTAACATTTTTACACCTTGAATCTATTATAACTTAACCAATTTATAATATATCGAAGATCTTTTGGGAGATTTTGTATTTGAGATTGTAAGGAATAGATTGGTAGGTCAATTGTACATGTTGCTTGTAATTGTATCACCCCCATAGATCTGATTCTGCCTTTAAACTCAAACTTTAAAGGCAAGATCTGCTCATCTTTGTCCTTATATACAGTATATACAGAAATTGCACTCCCAAATCTTTCCTCGTGTTGACATAGCAACCCGATACAAAACTATAGCAACTCAATGTGCAACTATAGCAACCATATTCACAATCATAGCAATTTAATAAGCAACCAGATTTTTACAAAACCACCAAGTATTTGTCCATCCCTACTCACCTTGTTACTAAAGAGAGCCCTGGTGGTGTTGATAAGAGCATATAACTTGGTGAAGACACTGCCATTGTGTTTGGTAGAATTGAGCGAAGCAAGTGTCTGCTGTAGGGTGAAGTGTTCTGGGTCAACAGGCACCATAGCTTGGTCAAGCAGGTGTTGAGGAGGTAAAGCAGGTGCCCCTTCAAACACCGATTCTTCTAAAAAAAACACAATAGAATTGCTTTTCTTATGTATGACTAGGAAAGTGAGGCTTGGATCATATTTTGAGCAATTTAGTCCCATTTATCTTCTTTAAAGTGAGGAGGCTGGATTATTTTTGATAAAATACCAGCAAAGTGATTGTGATGATATGAATTGTTAATAGTAAGACCACTGATATTGTGATTTAGCTTTTTCCAAACATTTGTTTTTTGAGAAAATTCATGCTTCACTTGAATTACATTTTACATTTTTTGAGAAAATAGTGAATCATTCTTTGAGCTATCATGAGAAGACTTGAATCCAATTCATAAATTTATATTTAATCTAGACAATTTTACAGTCTTAGTTTCTTGATTCCTACCTTGGGATAGGATCCTAGCTTCATCTTTGAAATCCTGGCAAATAAAGCCAAAGCCCATTGTCTTTGGGGCTGTGTTATGTAGAGACTTTCTACAAGGGTTGTAGAAATAGAGTATCTCTGAGAGTATTGGCAAAAGAGTCACATTCAGAGTCTCTGTGTAAAGCACGTCAAGGTGGTTATGTTGAAATGTCCTTGGTATCTTATCAAACTTTGAACTTAATTTACAAGCTGAAATGAGGAATGAAATAGAACCAATACTAATTAATAGTAAATGAAATTAATCATTTGAAAGATTTTCAAAGTTGCAATTTTATAATTCAGTTTTGTAAAACATAACTAAGAAAATCTTTCTTCCTATTCTCATATTTCTTGATTTATCATTTGTATTATGGACCTAACAAGCTTTATAACCTACCCCAGGGTGAGCATAATGGAATGCTACATCGTGTGGCAGTGGCCTTGTATCTCTCAGCTGGTTCATAAACAGACATAGCATCATTAAACCTTGGGAACAATGCAAGTGGCTCACTCACCATATGTAGAGATGACATATCCTGATGATCTCCATCTGAATAAAATATGCAAGTGCGTTTGACGAGGCTCGATCAGATTATATGAATATAAAATACTATGTGCTGCTCATTATATATAGAATCTAAAGTTAGGACTCTGTTATACAAAGCCACAATCATACCCAAGTAGATCATATCCAATAACAGATCATATGAGATGTTACGAAGAGTCTACAGCCTTCATATGCTTGGTTCATAGAAAACATACAGGATATACATGTGGCATATGCATAATGGTAAGGTAAAAGGTATACCTGATTGTATAATATCTAATCCTCTGTTCTCCATAGCAAATGACCACTCTGACTTCAGTGGCATGATGTTGTCAGAGGAAGCAGAAACAACCTTCACTGATGTGCCTTGCCCACCTTGAAGAATAGAAGCATATTACCATAATAAAATATATGCCAGGTATACGCAAAAGAACCACTATTAATACACTACAATGCACTCTTAAAAAATATTACTTGGATTTCCTTATATTGAGAACTTGTACTACTCATTTTAAGTAAAAAATTACTTAAATAATCTTGAACTACTGAATAATTTTTAAGTAATTCAAAGTAATTACAAGTAATTATAAGTAATTTAAAACAATGATATATATATTAATTAAAAAAAAAATTAAAATGACTTCACAGGCACTCTGAATTTATGGTGAATTTACTAATGCAAGGAGAGAAATTGAAATACTTGCTGTAGTAATTGTAATACATGTACTCATTTACATAATTAAGCAATTACTCAAAATGACTCAAAATGACAATATAAGTAAAACCTTGGTAAAATGAAGTAATTTTTATACTTGGGAAATACTCAAGTAATTCATTTTTAAGAGTGTGCTTCATAAACAGTGTTTGCTTTAATTGAATGAAATCCAACTTTGAACAGATTCAGAAATCTTAATTGCATTGTTCATAATTTACACTTTCCATCCTTTCACTTACTAGCTACTACCTCTGTAATCATGTATAGTGTTAAATACCTCATACATAAATAAACTTACACAATTCAAGCTTGCCATTGTTTATTGCATGTATGGTTGCCTCTCTCCATTGGTTGCCAATGTCATTCTTCAGTAATAACTTCTTACCAGGTTGAAAGTGATCAGCTGTTACCACCTACAAAATAATAATGCAAGTAAATGCACCTACAGAATAATAATGCAAGTAAATGCACCTACAGAATAATAATGCAAGTAAATGCACCTACAGAATAATAATGCAAGTAAATGCAACTACAGAATAATAATGCAAGTAAATGGTAAAACAGTGAAGTAAATTAGAATACGCTTTACTTGATATTGGTATTTTTAATCATAAATAGGATTAATTACAATTAAAATACAAACTATCACTTATCCAAAATTCTGACATTTACAGTTATTTATTATCTTAGTGGTCATACTCTACACAATAGCCTGGTTCATTGATTGCATCATTTATGAGAAATTATAGCAATGAGAAGTTTTAATAGAAAAGTGTAAGTGTTTATGACAGAAAAGCGCTTGGTGTATCCCATTAAAAGAAATATCCAGTAAAAGACGATGTACACTGAAGGTACGGTAAATGAATACTGTTGACTTGAATCTAATGGTGACTTACTGGGGCTGATGCTGCCTCGAGAATTGCTAAAGGTTCTCCATTAGACTTATTGGTTGACTTTACTTTGACTGAACAACCATTAGCTGGAATGACACAACTGTGGAACATCTTGCCATTTACAGCAACCTCAATCTCTGTGACTAATATCTAAAAATCATAGTATTTGTTTAGAATTTTGTTAAGAAAGGTGGTGACTGTAATTCCTTAAAAGGCATTAGCATGCCAAATGTCACCACCAGCTGCCATTTGTTACAGACGCTGACTGCCGTTTAATTAATTGTTACTGATGCTGAATGCTGAACACCAATCGCCAAACACCATCCATAAAAAAGTTGGAGACTAACAATATGTTTTTAATTTATTAACGTTATTTGAACCATCAATAGCCATCGATACAAAACTTCCTTTCTGAAAACACATCAAAGTTTGTAAAAGGTCCACTACAGTTAAGTGACAATTACCTCCTGTGTGCCATAAACTTCATAACGTTCATCCTTTGCCACAAGTTCAATAACATCATGCTGAGAGAATGTAATGTTGTTCCGCACTTTCAGCTCATTGTGAGGCTTAACTTCAACAAGTTTACTTGAGCTTCCATCAATCTCTATATTGAGATTCTCCTTGATGCCTCCATCATCACTTTTGTTTGCCCTAAAAAACAAATTATTCCATGTACTAAAATACCAGGTCGTTCAATAAGTTCCAGGAAAAATGCTCTCATTTCAAAGATTTTTGTTATTTTCTGATGAAATTTTCACACAATGTACAAAAAATTCTTTCTGATTGATTCTTATAATATCAGCATCTCTTATTTGATTGGTCAAAAATAAGGGTTACTATGGTAACTTGACTTTTGGGTAGGCGGGGCACTTTTTACGTCACACAATTTACCATTACAGAAAATCTATCAATATGTGCAAATGAAGGATCCCTATTTTTGTTTGTTCTTATTTCAATTACAAATGTTCTGAGGGGAAATTGATGTTCATTGTTTTCATGAACATTTCTGAAATCCTGCTTGTCAATGCTGTACCAGTGGGCCAGAAAATCAACAAAAAGTAATAATATGGTAAGTTGATTAAAACTTAACCATTCAGCCTCTCATAACTATAATTTTTCCATCAGGATAATACAGCCGATCACACTGCTGATATAGTGCAGGAAACCATCACAAATAACTGGCAAAATAGATGGCAAAGCTGCCCCAAGTTACATACTCAAGTTGAGACAATCCTTGATTTTGCTGTTTTCACTAGGATGAAGGATCAACTAAGAGGTGCACTTTATGGAACAATGAAACAACTTTCGACTGCAGTCCAGATTGCCTTTCAAACAAGTGTTCCAGATGGCTTCAGAGCACTGCATCGTCAATCGGTTGAATGCAAGCGACTGTGCATTAAACATGAGGGAGAATATTTCTAAAACCTTATGGGACAATAGTCGTGTCTATTACATTAAGTTATATTATGTACAAGTAGAAAGCGGAGAAGAAATTCATGTGATATACTCATAAATTGCCTACCATTCTGTTGTTTTTCTAATGAATAATGTGACGTAAAAAGTGCCCCGTCTACCCAAAAGTCAAGTTACCATAGTAACCCTTACTTTTGACCAATCAAATTAGAGATGCTGATATTTCAAAAATCAATCAGAAAGTATTTTTTATACATTGTGTGAAAAGTTTATGAGAAAATATAAAAAATCTTTAAAATGAAAGCATTTTTCCGTGAACTTATTGAACGACCTGGTACATCAGAGCAATGTCTGTCACAATCCAATGATTGAAACCACTTTTTCTGAATCTAGCTTTAATGAACTGGAATCAAACATGTTGCCAGTATGTTCCTTTCATGAATTGCATTGCATTATCCCATTTGTAATGTGGCATATATAAACGAACATTTTTATTGTAAAAAAAAATCTTGCTTTGATGACATCTACATACTGGCTATTGGCTTTGGTATTTGATAACACCCCTTTTTTCCAATCACAATATCCAAGTAAAGTTGCTTACTGTCTAGATGTTGCCTCTAGAGCTATTCTAATGCCAGCAGCTTGTAAAAGTGTAACAGTAAATTTTGCCATTTCCGTAAAGCGCAAGTCACACTGTGATATGTACCTAAATGTAAATAATGAGAGCCTATAAAATACATTGTACAAGACAACTCTCCCATAAGCTATCTAGACGTGTTCCTACATGCAGTTTTTGTGCAAACTTTGAGATTTTTTTGGCAAAATGTATAAATATATTATATAGTTTGTAGATTGAATTCATAAAAACATAATATGTTAACATTTGTAATATTTTTCATCTGTTTACAAGTTACAACTCCTTCAGAGTCACTCCCGCAAGAATGGCTGTAGAAAATTTGACATAATGTCACCACTTTTTGGTTCAACTTACGTTTGTCCCCAAGCGCGTAAGATGTTCCCTTTTAGAGGTCTCATTATATGCCTGTCCTTAGTAGTATGCACCATCACATCATTTATGAAACTTGGAAATAGGCTGGACTCTTGCATCTAAAATAGTCAAGAAACTTATAATTGCACCGCGCTTGAAAAATAAGTCAGGAAAATAATGATATTGCTTTAAATTGACCTAAATTTTTCACTTAAATTTTTGGAAAAACTAACTTCAGTAAACCTATAATTCATTGTAATCTTAAGTCTTAAAAATTACAGAGCATTATTTTGAACATTTGTTACAACTGAATTTTATCATTTAATTTTAAAGGGAATCTAACTGTGTTCTTATTTGGCCTTGATCTTTATTCTTAGCACTACATCTAGAGTTCAAGAACTATCGATGAATGGCTACTTACCCATACTTCCTTACAGCAACTGCGACATATTCCACAATGTTTACAGAGCCAACCAGATTGGCCACACTCACACACACTGTCAATACTGGCACTGTTGATACCCTGTATGTTATGTGTCATGTGAGATGTACATCTACTGCAATAGCTACACTTCTCACGAGATTCTACCCAGTCATGGAAAGGAAGGATTCTCTGGCGACCTATGGTGCATATGAGAAATATTTTTAACAAGCTGATCTTTAATAATTAAGTGAGTTGTGTTAAGCCTATCTGAGAAATAAGAGTGAATGTAAAGTCAATAAATATTTGGGCCAATACAAAAGTGATGTACATGTGGTGCATATGAGAAATATTTTGAATAAGCTGATCTTTAGTGTATAGTAATTAAGTGAGTTGTGTTAAGCCTATCTGAGAAGAGTGAATGTAAAATCAATGAATATTTGGCCCAATACAAAAGTGATGTAAATATTTTGAATAAGCTGATTTTCAATAATTTCAGCCTGTTTGAGATTGTGAAGTAAATATTTTGATCACAAAGTAACAAAGTAATTTTCATTGCATTGAGAGTGACCTACGTACCTTGCACATATTTCAAGACATCTTTAGACAAAGCTTTTACATCACATTTAGGACAAGCAAGTTGTAAAGATTCTGAACGTTTTACTTCATGGTTGTAGAAAGAATGAGGAAGTCCCACTGATCCACACTCTCCCTGGCAATCCACCCCTACCTATAACATTAAACATGTGCCGAATGTAAATAATATTATAAAATAAGGAAAGCTTTTTTTCCTGAGACTCATACAAAAATTCATCTTCATAAATATGCATTGATCTCTGCCATTACTCGAGTCATTTCTGAATTGATTTTATTAATATTGTCAATGATATGTACACATTGACAAAATGTTCAACACCTCACAGACCACCTTACCTTAACATGTAAGAATGGGTAGCAGTTGTTGTGATAATCCATGAGTCGCAACACTTGACTCATGACACTCCAGAAATAAGTTCTCAGACCTTCATCTGGGTTGCTATCCGGACCAGATACTTTCTCCATAGTGTACAATTTGGTGGCCCTTGCAATTACATCTAAATAGCTGCTTGTTGTAGCTAAAAGTTAAACGTTATTATGTGGCTATACATGAAGCTGTTGGGTTTATAAATAAAATTATTTGGATACAATTCTGGGAATTGGGTGGAAGAAGAGCTTTCTATAAGATTGAGAGAGAAGTATTCTCAAACTGCAGTGAAATTCAAAAATGGGTTGCAACGGTCTATAAGTGTAACCAATCCAGAAAAAATATACAAATTAAGCTAGATGTCAATGAAAAAAGTTACCCGACTTTTTGGAGATTATGAGTCAAAGAAAGCATTCTTGAGTTTCAAATTGACTTCTGTAATAACTTGAAACCATCTTCTAATTTATTCCACTTCCCTTTATTGATTTAATTGAGTTCAAGCATGAATGTGGTATGTCAATATGACCTCAAATACTTTCAAGTGTGAATGTGATATATCAATATGACCTCAAATACTTACAAGCGTGAATGTGATATGTCAATATGACCTCAAATACTTACAAGCATGAATGTGATATGTCAATATGACCTCAAATACTTACAAGCATGAATATAATATGTCAATATGACCTCAAATACTTACAAGCATGAATATGATATGTCAATATGACCTCAAATACTTACAAACATAAATGTGAAATGTCAATATGACCTCAAATACTTACAAGCATGAATGTGATGAGTTGATATAACCTCAAATACATACAAGCATGAATGTGATATGAATCAATATGACCTCAAATACTTACAAGCATGAATGTGATGTGTCACCATGACCTCCACTACTCCTATCCTGAATAAGATGCCATATCTCCAACAAAGGACCACATGATCACTGATCTTCCAGAAATCTTGGAAAAGAGTTTGAACCAGGGCAGCAGGAAGACCATGAGTGTAGCGATATCTGTAGCTTACCTGCACCTCATCCTCTCCAGGACCATCATCCCACACGTGTGTCTGCAATATTCCAATTATGGGTGAAAATGTCCAGGTATTATTGTTTGTTGTAAGACATTTATTAAAATAAATAGCCTGTTTCAATATTAATTGGTTAATTAATTGACGTTTTATAGCTTTGAATCCTCACTGACTTATGCTCCAAGAAATTCAGTTTATCAGATTAGCTTTATGATAGCTAATGCATTGCCTGAACTTGCCCTGAAATCATTGCTTTTTACTGTTTTGACATGATTTTGTAATATCAGATATTACAAACAGGGGACAAATGTCCAGTCAACAAATATAATTAATCATCCATTATTCCTCAATTTTATGTTCTTTCAAATACCGCTGACGCTTATGCCTAGGTCACATTTGCTCCGATTCACCGCTCGGCACCCGGGCGATTGCATATTTTATTCAAAACTGAAGACCAAATCTTAAATTTGAGGTCAGATATGAACTCCTGAGAACATGTACATGATTTTAAAAAAGTTTGGACAATTTGAAGCAAGTTGAAATTAGTTTTGAACAAAATACTGCAATCAGCTGGGCGTTGGCAGATGAATCGGAGCAAATGTGACCAAGGCATTATTGAAGCAACTATTCAAAAATATTATAAAATATTACAAATATGAGACAAAATGGTGAATTATGTATTTGCGTCACTCATACTATAAATGCATATAATATCAATAAATTAAGAGATGTTCCTTAAATATTTTTTTGTATGTCAGAATTTCACTTTAGTTTTCATATATGTAATCAGATTTTGATAATACTGAAAATTTAAAAAGTTATTAAAGAAAAAGTGACCCTTGAACAATTCTGTCCGGGCTACTATATTACCTTGAGTACGAGTTGTGAGAACCTGGATTCAAGTTCAATGGACCTGAAGAAAGCTTTGGGGTGTGTATGGCTGTATGGGAAGTACTCTGGTTTAGTTCTCATGCCATGTGGTGGTATACGCACCAGGATTCCAAGATGGCAGAAAGTTTGTGTCACAAGATGGAATACCTGAAAAGAATGTATGATAGAAGTTAGCCTTGCAAAATGTATCAATACATTTTTTAAATAATTGCCAACGTTAAAAGCAAGTGACTGGAGATTTTTTTTTTTTTTTTTGTAAAAACTATATTTCAAGAATAAAACATATATACAAATATACATTATACATAGGCCTAATTACATTGTTTAATTTCTGTACAGTTTCTCTTTTTCAAAATAAGCATGTATACTTCCAATTTTGTCTATATTGAAAATTTGTATTGCCCTCCTGGCTATTAAAACTTCTTTATAATTCTTATACTTATTTATTCCTATAATTTGTTCAAAAGTGATATTATCAAAAAATTTCCATATATCCCTTATTTTTGTACACTCATAAAAATTATGTTTAACATTGTCAATTACATTGCAATTCTCACAAAATGAACTATCTCTAATTCTAAAACGATTTAAAATCTCATTACATGGATATATGTTGTGTAATGTTTTCCAGTGAATAATTAAGAGTTTGGCATCTACTTTGCACTTGAATGCTCTAAGCCAAGTTGCGCATGAAATATCCTTACCGTTATACTGTAAAATCAATTTTCTTTTATCTGTACATAGTTTTCTAAAATCTGATGTTTCATAAAATGTTATCTCTTTACCATTTAAATATATTTTGAAATCATCATCCGCTTTTACATTGCCATAAAGTAATATTACATTTCTATTGATACAATTTGAAAGACCAATGTATTGTATCAGTGTCAAAGGATTCCTACCAATAATCCTAGATATTTCATCATATGTCATTACTCTATCATTGGTTACAATATCACTTACAAAATTTATACCTTTTGCGATCCAATTTGTAAAACATATTTTATTTCCACTTATTTTTAACTTTTCATTATTCCAAATAATTGATTGGTCTGATTCAGTTTTATAATTTTGCCAAGTTTGTAAAACTTTCTTGTAAAAATGAGGTAAACCAGTATAATTATTAATTGTACTATTGCACTTAAATACATAAAGTTCTGTTGCATATTTGCTATAGTAAAACTTTGGAAGACATCTCCAATGTCCATTACCTGGTAAAACTATCAGTTTAATCCATTTCATAATAAATGAGACTTGCATATCATACATATCAATCATTTTCAGACCTCCATCTTTGTAATCTTGTACCATAAAATCCCTTTTAACATATTCTGGTACAGATTTTAAATCCTCTTCCTTATAATTGCCTTTGGACCATATGAACTTAAAAAACATGGTGTTCATTCTTCTTAATATGTCATCATTCAAAATAAAACTTTGCATTAAGTACATGAATTGTGAGTGACTGGAGATAACCATGCTCGCATGTACATGTATTCAAATATAAATTAACAATATAATTGCTCTACTGCTTTCGAAGTTATCAAAAAATTGGGGAAATTTTCAATAGACATTGTGCCAGGTTTCAAGTATTTATATGTTCACATAAATTATCAACAAAATTGCTCCCTTACTTTTCAAGTTATAGCAAAACATAAAAATTTAAACAAATCAGATTTTGGACTAAATAATTACAATAAAGAGTTGTTATGACTTTGTTCTATGGGTGTTAATAGAGGTTTGACTGTACTTTAAGTTATTGAACGATTTGAAGTGAAATACAGGATATATTCTGTATTGCACTTCAAATCATTCTATAACGTTTTTATCATATGATAAGGCCAATACATTTTACATAGGAGATAATCCCTGAGAAATATTCTGTATTCTCTGTATTGCTACTGAGATTGTCCCTTCCATACTTATATTTTCGGTATTGCTCCGGAGATGATCAAATGGCACAAGAACTGACCAATCAGAGGGCATCCTTTACAGATCATACGATAAATGTACTTACATATGCTTTGCCTTTCCTTGACTTGAACTGCAAGATCTCATTTAGCAGTGGTTTGTTTAGAACAGCAACGTTGGGCGCCAACGCTGGGACCCTTTTGTTATTTGCATATTTTGTCTCTCCTTGGAAGTAATGAAAATCTTCAGTGAGCATACATATATATTATGAAAGTCTTATACACTGTTTTTAAGTTTTAGTTAAGCAATAGACATTTGATACAAAAACACAACTCATACGAAGGTCTTACAACATGAAAACTACAAGGGACCTGTCCTGTGTAATATATGAGAGATCATACAGTACTTTTACATGATACAATTTAAAAGACACAATAAAAGGAATCAGACACAACAAAAGTACTTTTTTACTTCCAACAAAGAAAGTACCAACAAAAAATTCAAAAAATGTTCAGCAGTTTTTTCTGTAGTCACTGGAATATTAAAAGTTTTCACAAATGCAATTAGAATTTTTCTAATTTCATATTTAGAAGAAATGTCACTTTTTTCTTAATCTAAAAATTTTGAGGACATGAATATATGTTATGTGCCTCAATCTGAAAATCTAGCAATCTGAAACATGTGTTACTGTTCAGGCCTGTAGCCAGGGGGCCAAAAATTATTTCAAAATCATTCAGTTTTTCACCATTCTGAGCACTTTTAAAGTTATTTTGGCCATTTTTGGATATGGGCCTGCTGTTATTACCGTACCTATATCTGCATTGGTAAGATAACCCAGGAACCATGACACATTGAAGATCACTGCTGGCTTTTCTATCTTGGAGAAGTACAGTAGGGTACCCTACAAGAACATCTACAGTCAGAAATACAGCCAACAAGTACATCATGAAAATGGTGGCCATTTTGAATTCAGTGGTTTATTTGAGGCCATTTTGAATTGAAACTTGAATTTTCTTCTCAATCTCAAACCTTTTAAGTAATTCAAGGAGAGTGGATATTGTGTTTTCACTGGCTAACTTGAAAATATCTTCTTGAGCATGTCCTATGCCTTTTTGGCATCAGCATATAAGATTTGAACCAAATCCATCAACTGGTGTTTGAGTTATCAAAAATAACATTCTTACGAAAAATGCCTGACATATAAATTGATACTGTATGAGTGGCCACATTGGAAATTTATTCTTGGGAGAGGTTCTAAGCCCATCAAGCATCAACCAATAAAACTAGAGTCAAACCCAATATCCTGTAATTGACTTATCACCACAGAGACATATGGACTAATGGATAGGTGGACGAATGGCTTCTCTAGTAGAACCATGGGCTTTCAATATATACATGCATATTGAATGCCCATGATAGAACTGTACCTAAATTAATTAATACAATATACACTATAATTTACTTTGTGACTCAATCTGAAGCAAGCCAGAATAAATACCACAACAGCTGCCTCTTCATCACGAAAGTAAAACCTTCTATTTCTGGATATATATTTCAATATCTGAGGTAATTACTTTAATGACTAATGCTAATTTATGTTCAAAAATACAATGCCAATTTACCTGTTTATGCTGACTAGGAAGTACTTCATACTTTATCCACTCTCTCACAGGTTCAGTTGGTGTTAAACCTAACATGCTGGTCAGTCGTATTATCACCCTTTCTTCACTTGCAACATTCACACCTAGCATTAAAATACAATAACCTTAGGTACATGTAACTCACTGAGACTTTGTATTATCCCATAATATTCCACTTTCTACCTGGGGTAGAACTTAATATAATTATGAGAAATAATGAAATATACTTAAATGTATCAAATTTTCTAATTGTTACCTTCCATTAAAATAACAATTTATTTCTCTTTTTGTAGACAGTACCATGAGCATAGATATGGACAAAATGAGAGGAGGGGTGATTGTACGCTTTTTGTGATGACATATTCAGCAAACCTGCAATACTTTTTTTCATAAATAAATCCCTAAATGAATAAGCCTATGGTATAGTAAATTGTGTGAGGCTTTATGATTTAAACCCTATACTTCCATGGAATGAGATCTACTGAAAAAGGCGCAAAGTCACCAGTGTACAAAATAAAAGTCTTACAATCGCCCACCAAAATTTAATATTTTGTCTATTTTAAGTGTATGTAATTATAAATAATTGATGGTAGAACATTTATTAACCTGGCATAAACTTATCTCTGTCTTTGAAAAGAGCGACAACATCTTCTTCATATTTCTCAACCAATTCAACATCAGGTTTGAAAGGAGGCTTCCGATTGCCTGTCACTTTATCCGAGACCTGGAAAAATTAAAATTAATTATGGAAATAATTATTGACTCCTACATTCAGAAAAACTGATTGTAGAGAAAAAAAACAAACTAGATAGCTTTACTGTACATGTGCATATACATACTTGTATATTATATTTGCAATCTGCTTATGACCAATTCACTTATTTTGTCTCAGTTTATACTTTGTACCTATTAGCCAAACACCATATTTTGTTCAAAACCTTTAACTAATAAATGATAGAAAGTCACATTGAGGGTAATCAATCCTTGTCAGATTCAAAACAAAAATCCCTTAAAGAGAATTCCTAATATAATTCGCTTCAAGATAATTCCTAACAAGGCATTAATATGCAAAATCTCACTACCTGCCATTTGCCACAGAATGGTGATCATAACCTTTTGAGGTCAGGCACGAAGCCAGAATTTTCCAAGGGGGGGCTCACTTTTCCAAAAAATTCTAGGGGGGTTCACTTTGGCAAATTTGGCCAAAATTCACTCAAAAATAGTAAGAATGGTGAAAAACTGCATGATTTTGAAAGAAATTTTGGCCAGGGGGGGGGGGGGGGGTTCAGCGGAACCCCCAGGACCCCCCCCCCCCCCGGCTATGGGCCTTGAAGTGGCATAATAATAACTAGATCTTGAGACTGATTTTGGTCAAAAGAGCTGATATTTGCAACCTTGGCCAAAATCACACAGTAATTGAGTGCGGATCAAATGGATGGCATACACTACTAGATGGGAGGATGCAACAACAAGCATATTTTATCAGTTGAATATTTCTCAATTTATCAAAGTCTAAAGTAAAAATGAGTACAAGAGAGTTATTTAGTTAAATATACAACAAACTGATTACAATATAGCCCCAAAAGGGCGCTATAAAAATGTGTTGTACATACCACAGTTTCATCTGGGATTTCTGGGATTTCTTTCAGGTTGTTCCACAGTCCATTAATATCCTGAAGTTCAATAGACAAATATCAGTACATATTTATTTACACTTAAACAATGTGGGTACACATTTAACTGCACCAAAATAATGTGAGCACATAAGTTGCACTCAAACTACTGTATATGGGTTTATATGATGTAATTGATTACATGATACAATATATTGAGTATTGTACAAAATTGTATGTATAACTTTTGATCCGATAATAATTTTGATAATTTTAGCACATAATGGCATAACCAAAACATCTAAAACATAATATCTAAAACATGATACATTATATTGAAATCTTTACTTGCAGCCTTCCTCCTTTTCTGGTTATATTTCACTTATGTAGGGAAACAAACCTTTCTGTCAGTTATGCTCCTTTTATCTAGTGTATATTTGACGCAATGACAGAGCATGTCCATTTCTTGAACTTCTACTTCACTGGAATCATTACACCTCTGGGCACAATCCATGAACCATTGGATGTCAGTAATCACTGGCTGCCTATAGGGGGCCTCTGGGAAGTACACCAGTTGGCCCTGAAATGGACATTTGGGATAAGAAAATGCTACTGAACATATAAAAGGTGTTCTCTTTGTCATAATGATATTAAAAAATGAATTGTCAATAATATAATACTTATATATATTATACTTAAGTATAATGAGATATTTTGACAACAATAAACCTGATATCTCAAAAGACAAAACAAAAGTAGGAGCAAGGACTGATGGTGTAAATTAAGAGTATTATAACTTAGTGGTTTACATTGGTTCCGAAGAATAACAGATTTAGAAAAAATATTACCAATGAATAATCTTTTCAGTTGAAATTACTTAGGTTTACATACTTTACAGCCCGTGTATTTCTTTCTCTGTATTAAATGTAATCATCAATTGATTGATATCTTGTGTAAGTAATCGAAACTGATGCATTTCATCTTTTCTTGAGACCATATTCAACATAAAAGTAGCATGTGTGCTCAGTGGAACTGATATGTGCTCATTAGAGGGAATATGGTATTAACCTTTTTGTGTAATAATTTCAGGTGTTCATCTACTTCCATATGACTGTCAGCCATTTTCAGGTGCTCCTCAATGAGGAGGTGCTGATCCACAATGCTTGGGAGGTCCTCAAGAGAGGTAAGTTTCTCCCAGACTGGGGTGAATGTTTGAAGTGAGATGGGTTGCATCACTGATGTAGGATTCATTGTTGATATAGTTTTGGTGCAACTTCTTATCATGTTCAATATGGACTGATAGCCCTGAAATAAAAATCACAATGCAGGAGTGCAGGATGGGAGCATCTTGACCTCTTACATACAAATCTTTTCTCCTTCACATAAGTTTGACTTAGCTTCTTGGGAGGTAGCTTTATCAACACTCTTTTTCTTGTGTGTTTTAAGTGTTCAGAGGTTACTTTACAGAATTAGCCTCTATACTCAGGGTAAAATGAGACTGATTTTATAGGTAAATCATTAGCAGAATCCTCTATGCAATATTCTGTTTTCGTTAAACTGTATGGGTCAAATGGGAGCCATACAATCTGTTTTTCAAAGGACAGGAATTTAACAAAGGTATCTAATATACACACCTCTTCTCCAGTTTTCACAGGATATGAATTAATTTTCTTCTCGTCACCGTCTGAAGAAGCCTTAAACTGTTTGTAAATGGGCATCACATCAATACCCCATTGATAGATGGCAGAAGCCCATTGGAAGCAAACAGATGCTACTTGACTTTTCATTCGAAGCTAATAAACAAAAAAGAGCATGCATGCCAATTACAATTATGCATTTTAAACAATGGGACAGAAATGCACCATACTATAAAACTATTGAAAATATTTTATTAATATTATAGTCTTACAGTCTATACTACTACTACTACTACTACTACATTACATTAGCAACATAACAGTATGTGGTAATTGGAGTGAATGATTTTGATATTTTACTGAATAAATGCTGTGTACAGTTTTTTGCTACATACATTTTTCACAGTAAGTTGCTCATCATTCATGTAAGGTTTTAATTTCCTCACAATTTTCTCTGTCAAGCTTTCCTTTAAATAGAGAAAAATACTGTTTAGTTAGTGTTACATAAATGAAAAATAACATTTTTGACCTCTTAGATATACATTTTCACATACGAAGTCTGAGACTAAAACAAGTCTGAGATAAAATATTCTCACAGTAAAATAACATCATTAGGTTTGTCTTAAATTGAGGACAATGTTAAATGTGTTTGTGCCTTTCTCTTTCACAAATTATAATTAACAAACAAAAACAAGGCAGTGTACTGAAAGTAAGCAGACTCACCATGTACTCATAATTCACCATTGAATTTATGAACAAATAGTTGGATAACATCTTCTTTATTTCCCTCCATTCAGGCTGAAACAAAATATTACTTTATTTCTTAATTCGAAGATATTTATTTATTATTACTGTGCTGTTTCTTTATCTATTTGAAAGCAAAAACACCATTTTCTCTTGCAAGAAGACAAGTGTACGGTTTGATTAAACTGTATTCGCTGTAAATTGGAACTCAACTAGAAGATGGCAACTCCACGGAGTAGCAAATCCCAACGAACACTATATAAATCATCAATCTGTACAGTCACAATGTAATATTTACCATCTACTCTTACAGTATATGTCAAATTTCTGCTCTAGTCAGTCATTTTGAATTTTCAGAGGTGCAAATCAGAAAAACAATGCCATAATTGTGATGTACTCTGAAATTCCTTCAATTTGAGTATAATATAGCCATACTTTTAAGAGATCAGAAAATAATTGCGAAGTCCCACATAAGACGCCATTTTGAATTTTTTGAGGCCGGAATCAGAAAAATGTTACAATATTTGCAGTCTACTCTAAATTGCCTTTCATTTGAGTATAATAAAGTTATACTTCAGAAACATCTCAAAATTAACGCAAATTCCTGTTTTGCCAATACTCCATTTACGGCCCCTGGGGTCGGGGTTAAAAACTCAGGATATATGTGAAAAAGATAGATGTTGTTAATATACTACCAAAATTTCAAATAATAATATTCATTATTTTGGTTTAAAATGAAAAACATAAGATTTTTGCGAAAAATTCCCACCATTTTTAAACTGGTGGCCATCTTGACAAAAAAAATTCTTGCGTAAAACAATTCACCAATATACATCTTTCCGCTAAATATGAAAATAATCTGTCAACTAGTATTCGAGTTATCTTCCGGACAGACGGACGGACGGACTGACTGACTGACTGATGGACTGACGGACAGATGGACGGACGGAGGGCTTCACTATATCCCTACAGAACTTCGTTCGTTGGGATAATTAGCTGTAAAGAATTTGACGATGTTTCTTAGAGTTTAAATAACTTTTTATTTAAAAATATTCTAAAGTAGAATATTCGATTGAAGCTACACATGGCAATCGTCACATCGACAAGTGTGCGGGCTAGCTAGGACTACACACAGTACCTTTAAATTGAAAAGTATCGTTACACACGACATTGATTGTAACACAGGTCTTGGTGGATTGGAGAAGGATTTGAGCTCTGTGATATCAGATTTTGATAATCCTTGAATTCCATCAATAGCTGGTGCCTTGAACACAAACAATGAGAATAAATGGATCATGAGTACTTAAATAGATATATTACCTTTAAATTGAAAAGTATTGTTACACACGACATTGCTTGTAACACAAGTGATGGTGGGCTGGAGAAGGATTTGAGCTCTGTGATATCAGATTTTGATAATCCTTGAATTCCATCAATAGCTGGTGCCTTGAACACAAACAACGAGAATAATTGAATCATGAATAATTTAAAAAAAAGTTTTCACTCGGGATCTAGATGGGGTGTGGGAGGTGACTCCCCCCTAAAAAGTCACAATTTTAACTTGAAATCAAAATAGATGGTTATGGTTTATCAATAACGCATTGGATCAGACCCTAGAATTGGACTTATCCTCTGAAATTGGTCGGTATGAACCAAATGATGTTTGATTTTTGAATTTTTCTGGGGGGAGAGAACCCCCTATTCTGGCACTTGTTTGCTGGGCTCACTTAAATGCAAAATATAAAAAACATAAAAGAGTGTATAGTACAGTTCAATCATTTTTATATTGCTTTATTCATTCGGAGATATTATACAGTAATGTAATAATATATGCTTTGACTGAATGGAACAAAGCATAAACATAGTGTATGGTTAAAAAATTTAAGAAATATTAAATAGAACAACCCATACAAGTAGAACTATTTGTGCTACTATATCGTAACATAAAATGAGATCATATATCAAATATGGGAAAGCATTATATAATACATATGTTTTTAAGATGTTCTCCATTAAGAGTTTAGTTCTAGAGTTTAATTCTACAAAACATTACGAATGTTTTATTCAAACATGACCGTGCTCTATTCGAATTTCTCAACCAATCAGAATGCAGCATAGCCAATATAGAACGTTCTCTAATTCTCCATAGATGCACGACCATGCTCTATTCAATCTGCAATTTGCATTGTTTTGAGTGACGTCACATCTCAGCTGCACATCTGGGGCTCTGTCCGGGGATAGCTTGACAGCATGCGTATTCTTCCTTCATGCCCGTTTCACAGACACGGCTTTTACTAATTTTTATGTTTGAATCGGAATAAATAATGATAGGCCATTCAATATGGTGAAATTCAGCACGAGTTGGACAGAATGTTAGTACAAATGCACTCACCTTCGGTTCGTGCTTTGTACAACATTCTGTCCAACTCGTGCTGAATTTCACCATATTGAATGGCCTATCATTATTTATTCCTTAAATTGATTCCGCACCACACATCTTTTACTTACAGAGGGTATACAAATAATATTCAGGTATTTTCTACATATTCACATAAATCACATAAAGTTTGTTATTGTCTTTGATATGAGGTTTTAAAACATCTGAATATAATAGTCACTTACCCAATAGTTTGCATTCCAATCTTCCATTAGTTTTGCAATGTCCTCCTTTGTAATCTGTGATGTTGGATTTTCAGAAAGATGGTGCTCCTGAACCTTTAGAGAATAAAAGACAGATATATTTTATTTAAAAAGGCCATATATGGAAAGTTTGTAAGGGTATTATGGTAATGGGGTGATAGTAACATTATAAACCAATAGCTCGCCCATGTGAGCTTATTATAGAAATAAGGGCTCCCCAAGAGGGGGTAGTGGGGTCGCTTTTGTCACTTTTAAGATTTCAAAATTCTCACTTCATCACATTTAAAATTTACTTGTCACATTTTGTCAGATTCGTTCCTTTTTAGTCAGTCAAAGTATTTAATGCACTAAAAAGTCTGTTATGTTCCATTGTTTGATTGCTGGTTAGAATAAGTCATCTTAACGAGCATCAATTTACATTCAGAACGAATTATCTATTTTTGTCACTCTCAAAACACTTGTCAGTCCGATAAATGTGCAAAATTGTCACTTGCAAGGATTGATTTGTCACATTTGTTCATTTTTAAGTACCCCAAAGTCCCATTTAGTCCCATTTTTAGAGGCCAGGTCGCCTTATCACTTACCCCTTGGAGAGCCCCGAAATACAGGAGCACAGAGTGATAGATATCGCAATATAGGAATCAAACAGAAAACATAACAATGATAAACAAATAAAGGAATTAATATGTCATCACAATTACAAGGCATTAACACGCAAAATGTTACAGGCACCGAATGCTGAACACTAATCGAACACCATACACAAAAAATTTGCAATCTATAACAATATGTCACCATTTCTGGTGATGACATCATAAACTTGTAAGACTCAGTTAATATTACAGAAAATTGTAAACTTACTTGCTTGTTCATTTCATCACCCTTAGCCCACATAATACCCAATCTGGTAGCACAATCTATACATACCTCTAGAGTGTCTATATTGACATTTGCCACAATGTATTTATTGTCAGCTTCCATTGTTTGTAACAACCTCCCAAACTGAATCTGCTCAGCAAAATTCATGTCAGCAGATCTATAATGAAAGTGATATTGTTAACATTTGATATGTACATTTATATCAATTTGCACAATAAAGGAAGAGTTCACTGGTGATTTAGACAATAGAATATGGTTCAGATGAATAGGATTGCATTCATGGCATTTGTCTGAAAATTGTTGCCAGAAGGTAGGACACATGTTAGAAGGATGGACATATGAAAGGACAGATGGTCGGAGCATTTTCATAAGCTCAACATTTGACCCAAAAAGATGGATCAAGTTCAGAAAAACATGTTCCTTTGACATTTCCTGTTCATATGATTATCACGGGTTATCTGATCATTTTGATTTACACTTTCACTTCAGGGGGTTCCAACAAACCAACTCCCTATGGCCAAAAATTCTTTTAAAAATCATGCGGTTTTTCACCATTCTCAGTACATTTCAAGTGATTTGGGTCATTTTGGGTCAAAGATGTCAAAAGTGAACCCCGCTAGAATTTTTTAAGAAGAGAAGCCTCTTGGCAAATCCTGGCTATGGGTCTGCTCTGAATTACACATACCCTTCTTCATATTTTTCCTTTATCCTATTATTTTCCTTCTGCTGTTCTTTGAAGAGGTCCAGTAGTTCTGTCATCACTTTTCTTGTGATCTCCTCATGCTCTTTGGCATTGTCGTTAGAGTACAGAAGTAGCAATATGAAAGGGGCACCAGGGTCCTTAAATGAAAATGTGTAATTTTGATATTTGTCTAATTTGGAATTTATGTAAGTATATATTCCTATCAATTAGTCAGATTTGCTTGCAGAATCTTCAAATCAAAATATTATATTGCCACAAACCTGATGATGGGAGGCAGTTTCAATATTCTGCATGATCCTATATGCATGCTAACTTATATTTTTAATCAATGAATATACTTACTATTGCCCAGACACTTTCCAGCTTAGAGAGAATATGGAGTTGATAGTTTAAAGCATTGCTCATCATGTCTTGTACTATTACATACACTGCATTTTCACTGATCACGGAAGGGTAGAATGACTGCAAACAGATTGAATATATGACATCATCTTATATATTATATTGAGATAAAATGATTCCATATTTGTGAGTTGTTTGATATACATGACTTTATGGACTTATAACATGTTATATAAAAGTAACATGTTATAATCATGAAAACTATTCCTAAATGGATTATTGAATTATACATGTAACTTATATTTTGATAGATAAAAATTCAGACATTACCTTGATCATCTGGCATTCAAAGATATTCAGTGCCAGTTCTTCTCCTTCTTCAGTAGCCGCCACCTTGAAGTTCTTTGTGTGCAAAAGTATATTTGATTCTTCGATCTTGGTGAATTTTTGGGATTCCAAGAAATGTGTAATGTTGAAATGCGCTCTTTCTTCCCCAAGTATAACTAATTTCCATGTATTTCTACAGTACTTTAAAATAGCTTCTTTTTCTGGAAATATAAATATAAAAATCAGAGGATGAAAACTATGCAAAAATACCAATACCATGCATAATGATATTATTGCCCATGTAGCTATAATTGAAATTGTACAATAACCTATGGATCAAATTAATTTAATACAAGAGATTTAGATTCAGCCTGAGTAAAACCATGGACACATTGTAAAACATTAACAGAGTTTACCTGATTTTCTTGTCTCCTTTTCATTGTCATTGTTGACCTTGGACAATAGAGTAGTGTCTAAATGTTGATCTCTAGTACATGATACTCTGACCAGGTCAGGACAGTTCTTCTGCAGGTGGCAAATAGAGAGTGTCGTCAATTTCACACATCCCTCCAAATTGATCTGAAAAAAATCATATGGATTTCTAGAATATGTGTTAGCATATTTAGATTATATTATGTATCTATTCTCGAATACAAGAAACTCATAAAAATATGAGTATGATTAAGTAAGTAATAGTCTATTATAGCTATAACTTTCCTTTAATTTTAGGTTCACAATTTTAAACCAAAGACTGCATGTAAAGCTTGTAAAATACAAAACAAAAACAGCAAACACCATGTACATGAACATACCTCTTTCAATTTAGTGAATTTTTCTGATAGTTTCTGGATTCCATAGTTGGTGATATGAGCACAGCCCATTAAGGAAATGTTGTGAACTGTTTCATGCAATCTCCCCTTGGCAGATGCAAGGACACATAAGGCATAGTCAGTTAGCTGCTCTATCCCTGAGAAGTCCAGGGTAGCAATGTGCCTGTCTGTGTCATCTTCAATCTCAGAAATAAACTTCTGTAAAAATGTTAGTACATTATATTAATCTATAAGTAATGTATTTACAATATAAAATATTAGGAATATGACAATATATAGCCAAGTAGTCCTCCATAAAATCATTTCTATTTTCCTGATTTGTTGTTGAAAAAATGAAATGGGGTATGTGAGTGTAATCATAAAGGTACATATACATTATAACTATGCAAGACTACAATTGAGTTATAAGGTGACAATTTTATGCACATTCTGTCACTCTACTATACCTTGCATTTGGTGTTCATAAGCAACCCATTTGGCTTATTAGTAATGATTATGTTATTTGTTTTTATTTGTCTGTTCCTTATGCTTAGTTTATCTGATGACGTTAGATGTTAATAAGGTACTTTCAAAAATATACTAAACAATACAATTGGACAAACAGAGTATCTTATGCATTTCTAGGAGTTTGGTATACATGTAGTAGAGTGACTGTGCTCCCAGTTAATTTCGCGGCTATTAAATTTCACGAGTTTCACTAATATAAGTACACCTACTACTATGTTTATATTGGTCAACAACACGCTACACCTTAACCTCTATTGCATTATCATTTTTTGGTTTATTTGATCTACTAAGCCACTGTAACAGACATATTGGTTACAAACATTTTGCAAAACATGAAATGCAATGGAGTCCTAGGTAAGAAAAATTTTTCACAAATCCTTGGGGATTTGATTGAAAATTTCACAAAGATTAATTTTCGCGATTTTACCACAATCGCAAAAAGCGTGGAACTAAATAATGTTGTACGTGAAAAATACCAGGAATACAGTATATGAATAGAAGGTGGTTAAAAGATGAACATTGAACCTGGTATATAAATGAAATTGAATGTTATTATAATCCCTATTCTAAATAGTTTAACTTACAGAGAATGTATGAACGGGATATACATTTTGTACATCAAGGCCCTCAAAGAGACTGCCCCAATCAAGAGTCTCTCCTTGTGGATCATTTGTGTCTGCAACGCCCTCCATCATTCATGTGTCATCATGGAAGGTAACTTGTCATGGAACCTTCTTCATGTCAGAGAAGATATTGCATCCCTAGGAGAAGTGAAAGTATAATTATGATACATGTACTATATACTGTTTATCCCATATAATCATGTCATGGGCGTACTCCAGTAAAATCTGTATATTCGTACACCTGACTAATCCTACATCTTCCAATCTGAACACTTTTTTCAGTCCCATTTTTTCATCCCTACTGACTCCCATGTTAAAAAAACTTGAAATGTTTACACCTCCTAATTCGAACAGTGAACACTCATATTCGGAAATGAATTCTTGCGATATCAAAACTTTTGAAACTAACTAACTTCTGAGACTAACATAAATTATATGTTAGTCTCAGGTTTTATGAATCCCTTGGTTTGGTTTTCTGTTTGATTATTATTATCATGGGCTCTAGTTGAAAGCCCATGTTATTATATTCTGCCATGATCATAAGTCAAGATAAAACAAAACTGAGACTAGCCAGGTATGCTGGTATGTATTTATTCTCATGATATTTCACAAATGTAATTACTAAACACTAAGCTGTTAAAATAATATACATCATGATATATCATCAGCTGAATCTTGTTCTTGGACGCTAATATCTTTCTCATCCATCCATGTTTTCTCAACATTTGCAGCAAACATTTTCTTGAGCCCATGTGCAAATGTGCATTTACGAATCATTATTCTCCTTAAAACATTCCAAACTGGACCGAACAATTTTTCTGAACTGAACAAACCATCAACCATGCAATGACAGTATTCTCTTGATATTCTAACTTAGGAATGGCCTATATCTTGACACTGTGCCTCCAGATCTAAGTACTAAGTCAGATTCTGATCTATGAACTACTGATCTGACTCACACAGAACTAAGTTACATCCTTCATAGAGTATTTTAGTTACAGATTTACGCTAAAAGTTCTCTATGATCTTACTCGGTCCAGGGTCACAGGACTGAAAACTCAAAATTTTCTTCAAAAAAAATCAGAAAAAGACATTGAAATCAAGACAAAATGCATGTCAATATGTTAAATAATTCATGAAAGTATCCAATAATACGTCGAAAACTAACCTGAATGGGTAAGCATGGATCTAATGAGTAGAATCGTGTTATCGTTGTAGAATAATGTTGAAACACGAGCACCTGCACCAGACGTTGTCAATAAAAACACACCACTAGATGGCGATGTATTCATATATATTATTGGGGATTGTATACTAAGTCGATCGACCCCATGTGGGTATGAGTCTTAAAGACCTAATTCATTCCATCATGTCGACTTACCTAATACCACGAGGGGAAAGAGTACCCGTGTATATACAACCTACCGCCGAGCAAGACACGCACATACCGCCGAGCAAATGTTTGATAATGTCATCTCGTAGGAAAATGGACAATAAAGGTAATATAATGTCACTAACAATTCCTTTGGATGGTTAGAGTTGTTACTAAGATGTTCTAGCAGGCGCAATTGGCCTAGAATTATAGTTGAAATATATTTTTATGTCCAAATTAAGAGATAAGGTAAACGTATAATGGTTTTCGATTTGTTTTTCTCATTCATACTCGCTTTAATTGATAATGAGCCATACATAAGACATACTTGGGTCGGTAAATGGATGTGCATATGCATAATATATTAAGTGTCAAAATATTAGGTCAAAATAGCACTTTTGAACAGCAAAATCTTCACTTAAACTTTGTCCTAAAAGATCCGAGGTTATCGGACATCGGACCCGATGTGATCGACGAGTAATATTATAAAGATCCGAAAATATCTTGAGTAAAGGATCTCAGAATCCAAACATTACTTGAGTAAAATCTGTTGAGATCCGATTATATCGTCGAGTTTATGACGTGCTGAAGAAAAAATAATAAACATACAATCTGCATCATTCATGTGAATCATTTTGTTGTGAACAATAAATGAAACTGAAAAAATATGGCTATCACCAGTTACCACTGCACATCGAAACATTGTATTTCAGGTCCTCGGTACAAATACTTCCACTGTAGTTATAAATCACACAAGATGGATGACTTTGTGGTCCACTTCAGTCAGCACCATCCATTACTGAGTATTAAAGTTAATGTGCCTGAGTTAAATGGCAAAAAATGGATTTACAATGTTTTTGACTATGGTATTGTATTATCAAAGAAAGATCACGGTAATTTTCGTTTCGAAGATATGAAGCTTGTGAAGCTTGGGATTCTTCAAGTTGTGTTCTTTGAGTAGAATGGCGCTTGCAATGCAGAATTAAATGTTTTTGGGTTGCACTCTTACCATAGACATATAGGAAATTATGGTGATTCAAGTGTAAGCATGAATTCAATGTTTTAAGAACTTTGCCTGAAACAGACGTTGACGTATAGTGCTGCGGGAATTATATCCCGGTGCCAGGAGTATATGATAAATAAAAAGGAATATTTGTGATATCGTCATGATATTATATGCTCATTCGAAAGCTTACTCACTACCTCATCGGGTTCTACTCACGGTATAGTCGGAATAGCTCGGTGGTAGCTTCGGGTCCTATATAATCGTACTCGTGACATAATCGGGTCTTTCATTTTCAACTTTCACCGGTGATTTCAATGATATGCAACGTATGGCAGTGAAATAAATATGATACATTTACACCTATTGTATCTTTGAATCGAATGAAGTAAAGACAGCCATGGTTGTTACTTATTCAAGATGTAAATCATCATTCAAATATTTAAAAGTTGAATTTAGCGATTGGATAGTAAACATTGCGGTAAGTACTCATTATTTTGCAAACATGAGTGCCTGGAACAATAACTCTATCAGTTACACACAATTCTGTGTTTTATCTGTTTCTCATATTGAGAAATTCAAGATATAAACAAAAGTTTATAACTCACCCCCTACATTTTCAGACATCTTCGGGTCTTTGCTCGGCGGTAGGTTGTATATACACGGGTACTCTTTCCCCTCGTGTAATACTAGGCCTAATACCTCTCTTCTTCTTCGTCTATTAGAGTACAGAATCCTCTTTAGGATATTTCGTAGTACTATGTGTGCTTGCGTGCGGTGTATATACAATTGTAGTGTGAGTGTGCATTAAAATGTCTAAAATCGTTTTGAAATCGTCATCACTTTGTACGAAAGCAAACCCAACCAAACACATTTTGACTAGCTGGCTCAATATGATACAGACAAGTAACAGTTATCCATTTAGATGTGCTGTCATTTGAACAATTGTTATTATTCGGACCGCCAATCGTTTCCAAGTTTAAATATAGTTGCAAATTGCCATTGCTCAAAATTATCTTGGAGTCAGCAGCTAACTTGCACTTCTCGTGTAATGTCAATGTGGTAGCCTGACTGTTGCTTTCAGATTATAATATTAAATTTTCACCAATCTTGGACTAAGGTGGCTCTCGAAGTGAGTAAGGGTATGTGTATTTTATGTGTATCCTAGGATGAAGAAATGAATACTTTACATTTGTTTTTTCTAATCAGTCAGTGATGCATGGTGACATTCAAGGGGAGGATACAAGGGAAAAAGATGAGTGGATCAATTGTCCACTGATCACTGACTGGGAAATTCTTAAAAATTATAGTTGTAATCATAAACATATTTCTAAAATAATCTGACGCCATTGTAAAACCATCTAGGTCTAGGTGCGTTAATGCATAAGACATTCTAGTATATATCTTTTATGACTTTATGACTTATTTAAGCGAATGCATGTTGCCTGTTGCCATTCAAAATCTGAGGTAGTGTACCTTGGGGGGGGGTTGTTTGATTTCAAGGGGTAGGGGTTACCTAACTGGCCTTTCGTGGATATTGGTGTTGTGTATACTAGTATCACTAGAGGGCATCCTGGTTCTTATAATTGTATCTGATTGGGTGATCTTTTTAGATGAAACAAGGGAAAGATCAATACCCGGTGATTTCAGCGGGAAGTGGCGTTTCGTTCATTGGATGAGCTGCGCGCGCACGCATAAATGTGATTATCCCAAGGAGGATTGGCTCCCAGGATCGAAACTCGATATTTTCCAACAATGAAAACGTCGAAATGTCGTTATTTTCTGAAATTAAAACCGACTATAAATTCAAAATAAACAGTTCAAAAGATTCGAACCAATATCTCGATCATTTCTTGTGAGTTTTGGAATTTTTCGTTTGGAAATAAGACCAAAATTCACGATTTAAATGTTGAAGTGAACAAAATGGCGGCTGTTTGAATTCGAATTTTGTATTACGACATACCCATATATGGGACAGAATATCGGTGGTGCACTCTGGGAGCCAATCCTCCTTGGATTATCCAATATAATTAGGGGAGGGCTATTTGAAGTAGTTTTTGGTCTCAGGCGCGACCCAGGGCTGTTGTCTTAAGGACATTTCGTTGAAAATGAGCCATTCGGCTGATAATTGGTAAGAGTTTGCGATCTTATAATGTATAACTGTTACTCAGACACATATTTTGACACGATTCTGTTGGAAATAAGCTTTGAACCGAGAGATATTCACGATTGATATGCACATTTTTGATTGTGCCATTGCTTTTCTATTGCACAACCCATGTATTGATAGAAGAAACATTAATAATACAGATTGGTTTACCTTCAATACATGGCAGACACTACATATCGGTCTATTAATACCAGTTTGTGCCTTAAATAGTTTTATATTTCCATCCACGGCCTGGAGCCTGGGTGTGTTTGTCTCTTATGTGTATGCTTGTGCATGGACTTCAAATCACTAGCAGAATTTAACATGATGCAAACTCGACATTATAACTCATGCTGTAACATTTTGACTTCGCTGGAAAACAATAGGAATTATTTTTCTTGCCAATCAATCATGAATCACAATCAAAGTTTCAGAATGATCAATCAGGCAATGATCCAAATCAAGTTATAACATTATATAATATTCAGCAAGAAGTCCGGTAGAAATACAGAATATTTAAACATCAAAGCTGAAAGTTAAAAGCGAATCTGTCAATTTTCTGTCTGCAAAAGAGCGTCCCAAGAGCGTTTACATTTGACACAATAACAGACTGAGGCTTTACAAATAAAATGCTTAAACTGGTGGCAGATTCACTTGATGCAGAACTTCATAAACTTTTTAAACTCATTCTTACTAAAGGCAAATTTCCTAATTGTTGGAAGCAGGGCATTATTGTCCCCATTTTCAAAAATAAATCCTCAAAAGTTGACCCAGGGAACTATCGGCCAGTTTGCCTTTTAAGTAATATTTCCAAAATTTTTGAACGCGTCATATATGATTCAATATTCAAACATGTGTCATCTAACAATCTTTTGTATCAGAACCAATCTGGGTTTTTACCTGGGCATGACACTCAGAAACAACTTGTATCTATTGTAAATATGATTACTTCAAATTTTGACCATAATATTTCTACTAGAGGGATCTTTCTTGATATTGAGGGTGCGTTTGACGGCGTCCCCCACTACTCACTTCTGCATAAGCTAAAATCATACGGTATCTGTGAGAACATTATTAATCTGATAGGGTCCTACCTTAATAACAGAAAATTAAAAGTTAGGGTGAATGGTACAACTTCAATAAATTCAGATACTCTATATGACAATATTGATGGGACAATGGAAGGGATTCTAGGGACAGGAGGAAGGGATTTAGGGGGGTTTGACAAAGGAGTAATAAATTGTGGGGTTCCTCAAGGGTCAATATTAGGTCCCCTGTTTTTCTTACTTTATATCAATGACCTAGCCGATGCAGTTTTAAATAGCACTCTGTACCTTTATGCTGATGATAGCTCAATTTTTCTACCTGTCAAAAAGGAGGACTCAGTTCATGAAACTTATCTAAAACTCCAAAGCGATGTTAATAGAATAGAGATCTGGTCAAAGACTTGGAAATTAAAATTTAAGACAAGTAAAAGTAAGGAAGTGTTTTTCCAGTCCAAAACTAGAACTCCAATTGCTCAAATTCCTATTGTGTTAAATGGTGACTCTATCCCTTTCACCAATAGTCACAAACATCTTGGTCTTATTTTAGACAAGGCTTTAAACTTTGAAGAACACATTAACAGTATAATTGTTAAATGTAACAGGATGTTGAACCCACTTATGGCACTAAAACATAACTTAAGATCACAACATCTAGAGAAGATTTATATGGCATTTATACTACCTCACTTAGAATATGGGAATATCATTTTTGATTGTGCAAACTTAAATTTACTTTCTAAATTGGATAGTATTCAGTATAGGGCAGCATTGATTGTCAGTGGATGTACCCAAGG